CAGGCCAGCTCTCTGCTGTGGCCCGGGAGTGCAGTGGAGGATGGCCCAAGTGCTTGGACCCTGCACCTCATGGGAGACCAGGATAAGTACCTGGCTCCTGCCTTTGGATCAGCGCGGTGCGCCAGCTGCAGTGTGCCGGCTGTGGCAGCCATTGGAGGGTACCAACGGCAAAGGAAGACCTTTCTCTCTCTCTCTCCCCCCCTGTCCACTCTGCCTGTCAAAAAAAAAAAAAAAAAAAGAATTGTGAAAAACTTGCGTATGACATAAAGGCTTTAGATTTAGTTTTCCCAAATGTATCTATATATATCTGAAGTTTAGATATTCTCTGTTATTTTTCTGAGAATAAAATCTCAAATGTGGGGTATTTTTTTCTATCCTAATGTATAACATGTCAAATGTGTTGTTTTTGTTGAGAGAAAAAAAATAAATTTAAAGAATGGGAATCTATGAAATGACTAGTGCATAGCCAAAAGGGTGAAGAAGCCAGAGTGAAACTAAAATGATAAAGAAAATATGAAATCCAAATGGTGACATGCATGGAGTCATGATTTAAATAAAAAGACTGGGAATCCAATTCCACAATACAGCAGAAGGGTAAGAAATTAACAGAAAAAAAATTTAAAATGTCCAAAATAAATAGTACCACACAAAAAAGAAAAAAAAATATATAGTAACAAGGCCTGTTTTGGGAAATACCTTCCAGAAGGCCAAAGGGAAATCTACCTGGTACAAGATGAAATGGAAGTGAGCTATAGCCTGACCTGAGTCACTCTATTTTGTCTCTGGATGACCTCTAGTCACACTCATTGTCCTCTTTCTTCTAACCAGTCATACAACTACTATAACTTAAACTACTCAAAAACTAGCCTTATAAGAATGTTAGCTATAAGGATTACTTACATTACATGCTTGGAAAGTATGTTCAATGCTCTCTTAGATAAGCACAACCTTGTTTGTTTTGGCTTCTGTAAGAAATGGTCGGCTTTGTAATTAACTCCCAATAGGATGTGGCTTTTGCCTTTATAAGCTTGTCCCTGAGCTCAACCAGGGCTGCATGATTTGGAGAGCACATGTCCCTTTGAAACCACTGGCTTTCAGATATAAAGACTACACAATTTGGCTGTGACACAGTCTGAACTCCCCCTCCATGGACACCCTAAGATATTAGCAGCAGTCTTCTGTTTCAGTTCTGGTTAACGGCGCTTTTGGTTTGTCCTGTCATTTTGTCTCTTCCTTCACTGTCTTCTCGAGGACATCACCTGGTTGTTTCCAGCCACATTATCCTTTGACCACCACCGTTCCTGAATCACCAACCTTTGTTACCTAGGAACACTCCAGGACTTTTCCCTTGTAGGCTTCCTTTTGCCTTTTTCTTGGCTTTTCTTGTCTGTGCCTGCTGTTCCTGTTTCATGATCACTTTTGGATATCCAAAATCCTAGGAGGTAAATGCTTTTCCTTGTCCTACCTGTCTGTCTCCCTCATTCCTTTGTCTCTGGAGTCTGTTGGTCCCTTCCATTAAATGTGTACTCTGCTCAGTCTAAGACTCTTCAGTGTGTGTTCAAGGATTTCTCTCTTTGTTTTGTGGTATGTTAACTCCACTCCTTTGCTGAGACAGGGGAGGAAGAAGGTCTCCTGTTTCTCATCCTGGGACAGTGATACTTGTAAGTCTCCTAAATGTAAATTGGAAATCTCCAGTGGGATTCTGGACCATGACACACTGGCCTCTGGCTCACATACATCCTTGAAACTACCTTGCATCTTTCTTGTGGGGAGCAACTCGGACTAGACTAAGTTACTGGAATTAAGACTTATTCTATGCATCTGCTCTCCCACAATATGGCGCTGGGAGAGGAGAAGACAGCTTCTATGCAGCTGCCTCTTGCCAACTTGAGTGATGACCTCCAGGAGCTGATCCTGCTCCTGATTGGAGGAGAGCAGCGTACTCGGCGTGTGGGCAGCCGAGTTGGGATTGGCGGAGGAGGACTATAAAGGAGGAGAGAGACAACATGCACCAGGAACATCTAAGGGGAACATATAAGAGGAACACCTGTGCAGCCCCCGAGAGAGCCGGCCGGCGGTGTGCCGCTCCCCTGCGGAAGTGGGGAATGTGGCAGGGGGAACCGCCCTTCCACGGAGGTGGAAGGGACGGCAGCCAACCCGGGAAGAACCAGCAGCAAACCCGGGGAGGGCCGAGCAGACGAAAGAACAGCACAGGGTCCTGTGTCGTTCCTCCACGAAGAGCGGGAGCGACACTTTCTGAACACATGTTTGTTTCAGAGATGGTCCTGGTGCCTGGCTGTTCACTGCATATTAGCCTAAGGTACATGTTATGTAAAAGATTAGACTCAAATTCAATCAAAAATCTAGAGAGAAGTATTTGATAAATAAGAATCTTATCCATGGGAATTTATTTCAACTTAACTTGACATTGGGTTGAAAGAAATTTCTCCACACTTGATCTTAGTCAAAAGGCCAAGAAGCAAGAAGAAATTTCTCTCTTTTAAATCTAGAAAGATCACTGCCTTTAAAATATTGCTTTATAACTTGCTGAACTTGTTTTTCAACTTGGTTTAACAGGTTTCTAATGAAATAACAATGAGTAATCAGTACTTATTATAGACCCCCCCCCCCAAGGTGGATTTTGCAATCTCTGGCTTAATGTCATTGATTTATAACTAGAGTTTTATAAAAGGAGTACAATTCCATATAAATGTAATTTTGACCTTAATTCAGATAAAGGTATAATAAGTCACCTAGGTGTAATTACTAAATGTAAATTGGGTAAAGGTAAATGAGATAAACATGTCTAAAATGTAAACTATGGTACTCCTAACACTTTATATTCTGTAGAAAAACTATTTGGGTCTGTTAACAAATATGTTTTCATAAACTATTAAAATAATTCAACACTGCTTAAAAGTAACTTAGGCTGAAATTTGATGTGTTATCTTATTTTAAAAATGTTTAATTTGGAGACTTTAAAAAGGTTATTTCAAAATATAAACCTATGGAGGCCAGTGCTGTGGCACAGCAGGTTAAAACCCTGGCCTGAAGCACTGGCATCCCATATGGGTGCCAGTTCTACTCCTGGCTGCTCCTCTTCCAATCCAGCTCTCTGCTATAGCCTGGGAAAGCAGTAGAAGATGGTCCAAGTCCTTGGGCCCCTTCATGTGCATGGGAGACCTGGAAGAAGCTCCTGGCTCTTGGCTTTGTATTGGTGCAGATCTGGCCATTGTGGCCATCTGGGGAGTGAACCAGTGGATGGAAGACTCTCTGTCTCTACCTCTGTCTGTAACTCTCTCTTTAAAATAATTAAAATAAATATTTAAAAAATATAAATCTATGGAAGCAGATGGAAAAAGGTCACAGATATAGACATATGTTCTTGGTAAGGAAGGTTAAAAAGGAAACAGTTTTTTTTTTTACTTTTTAAGTTATGTGGTAGGTATTGGTTTAGAAGCTATACATGGTTATACACACACACATACATATATATATATACAAAAATATAATATAACCAAAATGAAACAAATGATCTTAATTGTGCAGAGTTAAGAGTCAGGTCATACACAGAAAAAACATGGGAAAATGACTCTATGACTATATGTAGAAAACATACCTCTTAGTATTTTAGCACTAATATTATTTTTGTATTGTGATAATGAATTATGTTAGTGCTGTTAGGAACTAGCTTTTGAAAAAGAAAAGGGATATATGGAAAAATTTAATGAGATTAAGCAAATAGTGTATAGTGTAAATTGAACTGAAAATATCAGTAGGAACTCATGAAACATTTTATTTAAAAAAGTGTGTTGTATATGAGGGAAATAGACATCCTCTCATTTGATTATTGTTTATAGTCCTTGCCCATATTCCTGCTGAAATGTGGTCTTTTACTACTTGTTTTTTTTAAAGCTTTTATTTAATAATATAAATTTCAAAAGTACAACTTTTGGATTATAGCAGTTTTTCCCCCCATAATCAGCATCCCATCCACAAAACATCCCATCTCCTACTTCCTCTCCCATCCCATTCTTTATTAAGGTTCATTTTTAATTATCTTTATATACAGAAGATCAACTTAGTATACACTAA